GTTGATATTCAATATCATTTTATATTAGTTTCAGGTGTACAGTGTAGTGGTTAGACATTTATATAATTTAAGAAGTGATCCCCCTGACTAGTCTAGTACCCGCCTGGCACCATACATAGTTTTTACAATATTGTTGACTATATTCCCCATGCTGTACTTTGCATCTCCATGACTATTTTGTAACTACCATGTTTTTAGCTTTGCCTGCCCAAAACAGCATTTTGTCTGTTGTCACCACTGTGTCCTTAGTGCCTAGAAGAATGTCTGGTACCTAGTTGGTGTTCAAGAAATTTGCTGAATAAGTGCATAAATAAATTCTGTGTCCCTACAAATTCCCACAAACTGTTTTCCAACAACCTCAGACTGCCTTGAAGTGGGGCAAGTCCAGAAGTCCCAGGATCCCAACTGAGGAATGTGTCCCCTAGTTTTGGCCTTGGTACTACCAAGTCGAGTGAGAAAGGTAACAAGCTGTGCAGACAGTTTACCCTGGACTAGCAATGGGAGGAGTGAGGGTTCTTTGTAACTTCTTATCTATATGTTTGGAGCTCTTTCATGATAAATAGGAAGGAAAGCTTGTTGTCAGAGCCACACAAGTTACCCCCATCTTAGGGCCCGTCTGGCTTCCCTCACTGTCACATTTCAGGCCTCACACTGGCTCTGCCCCTCTGTGTTCCTGGATTGAGTGCTTCTCTGGATGTTTGGGCGAGAAGAGCTTCCTTTCCAGACACTGAGAGAGAGAAAGAAGCAAAACCGTGGGGAGTACATAATTCCTCAAAAATCTGAATACAGAGGAAATATTTACTGAGTAGTCTCTGCTTTGGTTTCATTGTTGAAACAAACTGCTTCGTATTTTAAGAACCACTTCACCAAGTCCACCAGTATTAGTAGATATTTGGGTGAAAGAATCCAAGCCTATATGAAATAGGAACATAGGTTCCCAGTCACCATAGGCAGTTTTGGAAGAGGGCTATCTGGAGAAAAGCAGTGTATGTTTTTCACGCAATGGTATGCCGGGTAATGTTAAGAGAGCGGGACAAGAGAGTTGCAGTACAGAGGCCCTACCACGAGGCAAGGGAGGCTGGGGCTCAAGAGATGATATACCACGTACTCTCTCCATCCCAACCCTGCTTCAGTCATTTGAACTACATACATTCCTTTTTCTAAGATGCAAAGCAACAAGGGGGTGGTGGTTTAAAAGCGATGGGTGACTGAGTAATATTCCATTGTATATGTGTACCACATCTTCTTTATCCAATCAAATACGGCTACACTTGGTAATATACATGAACTCAGACTTAATTAAATGGAAATCAGGAAATATTGAATTTGCAACCAAAAGAAGTAAATTTTTATCTAACATAATGGATTCCTAAAGCTAACTTCCAAAGTGATTAAATGCAAGTGTTCTGTGAACAACAAAAGACTGTTCATATGTGCAATACCAAAAGAAGAGTCAAGCAATATTCCTGCCTTTTCATCTGTGCTGTTGTGCAGTTATTTTTATGAACGTAAACACGGGACTTTGTATTTATCTTGATTATATTTCATCGTCTTATCCTGAGATCATTTTGGATCTCGATTCTGTCAATCTTTGGATTTCATATTCTTAGCTTAATTTGTGCTGTACATTGATAAACGTCTTCCTGTATTTTCGTCCAACTTATTGTTTAAAATGTTACTCAGGCCAGTGGGCAGAGACAGGCAGTAGTGGATCTGTAATGTCTGGGTACAGCCACCTCCTATAGCACTTGGTAGCACTTGGCTGGGATACCTGAGTCAGTAGAGACACAGATTTGGAACATACTTGGCTGTTTCCACCCAGAGTGGTCAGGGCAAACCAAAACAACCATTTTCAAATGTTGGATAAAGACCCTGCAACAGTAAAAACCCACATCTCTGAGTTTTCAGGTTGATTTCACACTGATTATCTCATTTGGGCTTCACAAGAAACTCATGGAAGAGTTGTGTACAGATGTTGTCATACTGATTTTCAGAGAATGCTGATGAAATCAAGGCTGTCAGAAATTAAGTAACTTCTTGAGGCTCATGTAGCAATAAACAGGAGAGCTGGATCTCAAATTTTCTGACTCCCAGACCTGTGATTTTTGTACTTGCCTAATAATAATAGCCATTTGTATTGAAAGTTAAAAGTTTTTTTTCCTTATTGTCACTTCCCACACTTCTGAGGACTGACTAGCTGCGTCTCCCCACTAGTCTCTATGCTCCATGAGAGCAGGGACCATGGTGCCCTACTCATAGCTGCATCCTGTGTCTATATGGTGGCCAGCACAGCGCATATGCTTAATAACTATGTGTCAAATGAATAAATGATTAAACACAAAAAATAAATAATAGGGATGAAAGAAGGGACCAATCATTCACACCTTCGTGTAAACATATTTGACCTGTCACTGTCTTGACAGTACTATTTTTGGTCTACAGAGAAGCAACTACTTCTGTAGGAGATAGGGAGAGATGTTGGAAAGGGCCACAGGAAAGACAAGTAGAGAGTTTGGAAAACCATAGCAGATATAAGGTTCAGGAGCCTGGGGATGAAGATAAAGGTGGATGTGGTGGATGTGAAACAAACAACATGTGTCCCCACCCCCATCCCTGACCTTTTTTTTTTTTTTTTTTTTTTGAGGACCTGACCTAGAAGATCACTAAGGACAAAGTTCCTATAATTTTAAGCATAGCCTAGGGCTGATCATGCTGGTCATGATGTCAGAAAAGGCATTTGCTATTATCTAATGGGGAACCAATACACAATGTGGTTAATGAGACGCTGATACTGTTTTCCCTGAGAATTAGAAGGCATGAAGATGATAGCTAGGAATTTCCTGTACTGCCACACTGGGACCATTACCTGTTCTAGCTATTGCTCAGTAAGTCACCTACCTCCAAAATAATCTCGTTGTCAGATGGTCTGTTTACCCTGACTTTCTTTCCCCAGGCCTCCCAGTTGTCCTAGCGTATTTCATCAAATCCAAGAAATCAGATTCAGAGTCAGCTTGGCAAGAAACCCCAAGTAAATCAAAGCCAAGTTGGACAAATCAGAGAAAGAAGTAATTAATCTTTCAGCTTGAACCCTAAAAAGTCACCCAGGGGTTTTCCATTTGCAATTCTGCATTTGTCTTCAGACAGCCTAAAAAACAAAGTATAAAAATTGACTTGAGATCAAATATACTTTAATAAAATGCTTTCTTGAAAGATGGAGGGAAGATAAAGGAAAGATGCCTCTGCGTGCCCACAAATAAAAGCAAAGGTGAATAAATAGTTGACCAAAGTATAACTGCTAGATAATCCAAATGTATTTTATTACATTTAATAAGCATTTAAACTCCAAGTTGCAATTATAGCTGAATGATTGCTTTTGCTTTAAATGTAAAATAAAAGTCAATTTTACATCTAGTTATACATTAGATTTTATTGGTTACATTGTTCATATGAAAAAAGTTTTTATTATTAGCAAGTTATATTAACTATAAAATGGAAATTAATCAAAATAAATTGAAATATGGTAAAATTAAACAAAACTAAATATGGAAATTACACAAAAGGAAACTAGTTTTTTGATATATTTTATGTCAACTTGATTAACAAGTCCTATTAAAAATTTTGGTGTCATTACCCTAAAATTTCATAATTTTGAGAGCCCAGGGCACAAACAAAAGTTCACATATAGTTTATACTTACAAGAAATGGAAAAGAAAGAATACCAAAAGAAACAAAAAGATTATTCATACGTTGATTACTAATTTAATCTTAAAACATAACCTAACAACTCAACTTAACCTAACTTAACCTAATTTCATCTAACTGAACCTAATGTCTTACATATTCTATCTATAACCTGTTTTCACAAGACAATATAATGTATGATTATTTTTAGGACTTTAGATCATGAGGAAAAAGTAATGTGATTTTTGAGAAGTCATTTTTTATTATTGTTCTATTGTTTTAGCATTTTTTTTTTCAATTAGTTCCTAACCCAGGCAGCAACTTAGCAGTTTTTAGTTACATTATTCTCATGGATTTTTACTTAAAAATCTTAGTATTTTTTAATTTACATAGCATCAGAAAGAAGTAAAAGGTTAATAACAGTTTCAAAATTTTGCATATTACTTTAAATTTCTTACTTTTTTTGTTGTTGTTTTGTGTGGTTTTTTTTGGATTTTTTGTTTGTTTTTTGTGTTTTTTTGTTTTTTAATTACTCCCTGGCATAAGTTCAGCAGCTTACAAAATGCATTATTCCTGGAAGTTTTACTTTAAAAGTCTTAGCATTTTTAAACTGCCATATCATCCAGATATTTTTTAATTGATTAATGCATATTTTAAGAATATTTTTGTGGTTTTGCAGCATTTTGAGAGTGAGAGTGAGTGAGTGAGTGTGAGTGTGTGTGTGTGTGTGTGTGTGTGTGTGTGTGTGTGTGTGTGTGGCAAGTACGTAAGGGTATTTATTTCCACTGCTTTTAACATGAATATAACTTGTTAGCTTTTAAGCTATATTTTTTCTCAGAAGTTTTATTTACTCAGAAGTCTTAATATTCTAAAACCTATACTTCATCCAATAAATAAGAGTTTTACGGATTTTTTTTGTTGCTTTTGTTGTTTGAGTTATAAAAAATGTTTTCTCTTCTTTTGCATATTTTTCAATATTGATGTTAAGTGCTCCTCAACTGGGAGCAGCTTAACAGCTTCCTAGCTGCATTTTGATCCAAAGCATTATATTAAAGTTCTACCATTTTTCAAAAAATATAAGTTCTAAATTTTTGTGCTTTTTTCCTTTGGTTTTGTAGGGGGTTGTTTTGTTTTATTTATGTACTTATTTTCCAATTTGGTCCTAACCTGGGAACAAATTCAGCAGATTTCTACCTATATATTATACTCAACAATTTCATACAAATTATACAGTATTTTTAAATTTAAAGGTCCTCAAAAATAAATTAAATATTAATGCAAGTGTTAGGAATCTTATGTTGTTTTTATTGTTTTGTAGTGTTTCTGGGTTGTTTGTTTGTTTGTCTGTCTGCATTGGTTTGGTTTGGTTTATGTATTTTTTCAATATGCTCCCAACCTGGGCACAAGTTCAGCTGCATTGGCTACACTGAGCGCCAAAATTTAATATGAAAGAATAAGTAACTTAAAGTTAAAGATCTCTCTTCCTGCCAAAAAAAATGATTAATGCAAATTATAAGAAAGGTTTTTTGTTTGTTTTGTTTTACTTTTTGTTATTATTTTCTTTTGTTTTTTTTCAACTTGCTCCTGACCTAGACACAAATGCAGCAGCTTTCTGGCTGCATTGAGCTTCCAAATTTCATATGGAGAATATGTTATAGAAATAAGTCTCTGAAAAGAAATATAATTGGAAATTCTAAGAAAAAAATGATGTTGCTTAGGTATATTTTAATGGACATTGTTGTTTTATGTGATTTTCCATTGTGTACCTGTCACCGGCACATATTTAGCAGCTTTCTATATTTGAAGTTTCATATGAAAATCTTAATGTAGTGTACAAAAAAGGAAGGATATTTTTAAAATACTGACACTGCTGGTGACTGCAAATGTGTAACTCCAGTTAATTTTCTGTTTCCCACCTATATCCATGCAAAATACAATTTATCTTTCTGCTTTCAACATATATACAATAAATTTGCCAGCACTTTTCTATTTGATACATTTCTTATTAATAATGTTAGGCTAAAATATGTTCTTGTGCTAAAATAAACTTGATGACAATTCAAACAAAAACTAGCATATATCAGTAGTAACACAAGGTCTTTTTTAAATAATCCCTGAATTTGTTCTATATTTATAGGCCCAACCTAATTACCAAATATTATTGGAATGGAATCTCTTTAGAAGTTTGAAAGCAATCTCCATATCACTACACTCAAGGTCACTGGCCACTTATATAACGTGATTCAATGAAATTTCAACCCAGCAGAAGAGTGTGGCATTCACTTTTGGTTGCTGTAATTAGACCTGACCTATAAATATTGAACAAAACAGCATATGTACAGTAAACGTTCAAATAAATGCATCTGACTGTATTCAGTACATTAATCTATTCTCAGTATCATTAGCTTCAATTTTTTCTCTTATTCATAGCATAAGAAAAATCATAGGAGAAACTATATCTGCACCTAAAGACAGTTCTCGTACCTAGAAGGTGGATTCTAGCATTAACTCACCACCATTATGTGTTGTTTGATCACTAAGTTCCTCTTGAATTGCTGGAAGGGAAGGTTTTGTGGTCAGAGGTGTTTCAGTCTTAAACAGGGACTCCATCCTGATATGGGTATTGATGTAGAAGGACTTCTGAAAGGACTCAAGTGTGAAGTAATAAATGAAAGGGTCAAAACAACAGTTAAGAGTTGCAAGGCACAAGGTGATTGGGTACATGATTTTAGCAAACCTTTCCAAAAAGCAATTGGTAATGGCTTGGGAGCGCACTAGGGCATACACGAAGAGAACGGAGTTATAGGGTACAAAACATACCACAAAGACTGCCATATGCACTGTGATCATCTTCAGCACTTTTTTCTTATTGGTCCCAATCTGAGACAGTGTAGCAGGCTTTCGAAGGGTTCTTAGCACCACAGAAGAGCAAGTAACATTCAATATCAGAGGAATGATGAACCCAACAACTTCAATAAATATGGTGATCTTGGACAGATAAGTCTTCCAGACACCTTTAGAGAAGCCCTCAAAGCAGGTGGTAGTTGCATTGTTGACATTAGTGGTTGAGAACAAAGAGGCTGAAATACCACCACTGAGGACTAGGATCCAGACTCCAGCACACACAATGGCAGAATTCCTCCTGGTCCTAATGGTACGAGATCTAAAGGGATAAACAATGGCCAGGAAACGATCCACGCTAATACAGGTGAGGAAGAGCATGCTCCCATAGATGTTGGTGAGGAATGCAGTCCCAGAGATCTTGCAGAGAGTGTCACCAAAAGGCCAGTGGCGGTTGAAATTATAAAATATTTTGAAAGGTAGAGTGCAGACGAAGAGCAAATCAGAGAGGGCCAGATTGGTGATGAAAATAGCAGTCTCACTTCTCATTTTCATGCGGAAGCAGAAGACAAACAGAGAGGCACTGTTGGTTATCAGACCCAGGATGAATACAACACTGTAGACAGCACCATTCAGATTGTACTTAAAAGAATCATCAACGATGCAAGTATTATTGGCAGTAGCATTACCCAACCTGGGTCTGAGGCTTGAATTTAAATCTTGGAATTGGAAGTCAGTGAATCTTCTGTCACCCATGGATTTTTTTCAGGAGGCCTGCTGACTGCAGGGTTCACCACTCAGAGACTAGGGACTCTTAGGAAATGTTTTCCTCCTATGGGAGATAAAATGGATGAATCATCAAATCTACCGTCCATGATTTCTGTGGAGTAAAAAATATTCTGTGCACTCAGATCAGAAACAATAAGCACATTCAATTTGGTTTGACACGTACCTTTTGAGCATCTACCATATGTTAAAAGGTACTATAAAAGTATGTTGCAGGAGTGGAAGAGATCACACTCAATACAATAAATGCAATACTGTAGCAATGCACTGAACAGGAATAAGGCATTGATTACATTAGAGCCCAAGGCAGGGGTTGGCAGGGATGACTGATAGTTAAAACACTAATACATTGATATTTGTATGACACTTTTTAACTTTCAAAAGCAAATCTTATTTGATTCACATAAGAACACTATAAGGCAGGCAAGACAGGAATTTATCACCATATTATAGAAGCAGAAACTGAGGGTTATGAAATTTAGAATTACAACATCAAAATTGGAAGAATGTATAAATGGTATAGTCAGAACGAAAATTCAGTTTTTGTTTTTTTTTAATTCCTAACCAAAGAATTGTTAAGCTACTCTAAATTGTATTGTCTACTCTCCCATATTGCTAAACTTCATTGTCTGAATATTAGTTCTATTGCACAAGACTACAGATGGATATAAGACCCCCAGGGCATCCTCTTTAAAAAGTTATAACTAGGGGGTGACCGGTTAGCTCAGTTGGTTAGAGCGCGGTGCTGGTAGCACCAAGGTTGCCAGTTAGATCCCCGCATGGGCCGCTGTGAGCTGCGCCCTCCTCAAAAAAAATAAAGTCAACTATGCCATTGTAGCATGAAAGCAATGTGTAACCAATAACCACAGCTGTTCCCCAACAATTTTTTTTAAAGTTATAACTAAACTCCTAAAGTAAACTGTTGATTCACCTTTTTCTTTTAAAACAAGAGTTCAGAGAGCAAGAGCAGGGATCCTTCAGTTAATTCTGGCTAAGTGTTTTTTCACTGTATTACATTGCCTTTCTAGAGAGATAATTCAAATAACAATCTCAGCATTTCCCTCCTGCAGATTATGATCTCCTTTCCAAGCTTCTCTCATGCTAGACTCTAAACCTAGGATGCCTTCCTTCTCTATCTCCCACTGCCCATTCCATCAGTTACTTTCATGCCTTCAGCTCCTAAAATAGCGTTGGCCAATAAGTGTAAACTCTGGTAAACACAAGTGAAATTTAAAAGGTAGATCTGACATGAACAGCCTTCTCCCTGTCTCACTCACTGTACACTTCTGATCTGGCCAGTTTCGTGCCCTCTGCCTGCCACCACTTGTACATGTGGCAGTCATTGACCTATGCATTTCTCTTGGGTATCTGGGCCAATAATGTTCAAAGGTACATAGAGAAATCATACTAACCTTCTAGATCAACAGCTGCCATTGGACAAGAACTGTCTTTCGAATGCTCTATAATGCACTACAGACAAGTAGCTGCTGAATGAATTCTTTTCAATGAGGAGGATATGGAATAAAAGTGGTCTTTGTCCCCTGATACATTCAATAATGGGTTTTCACGTGATTATATTTTAAAATGTAAAAGGCATTTCTCTGAAGTGATTCCTCCTTACATCACTCTTTCCTTCCAACTGAATAGGTCAAAGAGCCTCTCTGTACATAACAAAGAAGGGAGCGGAGGGTGGAACCTGCCAGAGTTATAGAGGCCTGAAGTCACTTTAACCAGTGTTTTGCTTGAAAAAAAAAAGGTTTGAGGGGAAAAAAATCACTCACTGCAGTGCCTAGAGGTAGAGATGACCTTGGAGAATACAAAGTGCAAAGCAAAGACTTGTTATTTTTAATAGCTAAAGTTTTCAAGTTAAAATTTGGAAATTTTCTATTCTTGAATTTTCATTCAACAAATCTTTATGGAGTACTTCCCTGACCCTAACACTGCACTAAGATAATATTCCTTCTTGACCATTTTGTCTCATAAGCCCAGCTCAACTTTTGCCAGAAGCAACCATGATATATAAAAGCAGAGTATAGTAGGAACCTAGACCAAGTAAGGTCCAGGAGGGGAAAAAAAGCCAGATGAAGAAGAAATAAAAAAAGAGGTGAGGAGAGCAGAAGAGGAGATGGGAAAGAAAGTGGCAGGGAAAGAAACACTGAGAGAAAGAGGAGAAAATAAGAAGATGTTGCTAGGAAGAGGTCAGTGCTGCAACCTAATTTGTATTCAGGGCCTCGGGAGGTATTTCTAGCTCACAATTACTCCAATCCCATGATCTGTATCTTGCTTCGTCTCACTCCTTTCAGTTTTCTCAGAAAGGAAAACAGTATGAAGTCACTATGTATAAGGTCACTGAAACTGATCAGGAAAAAAAAAAAAAACAGGAAAAGCCTGGAAAATTTTAGTCAGTGGATTTCAAACCTCTTTTTCTACAGATTGTTTCACCAACGGGGTGGTAGAAAGAAAAAGAATGGCAAAGTTCTCAACTGCTTAAACCACTTTATATACTATTTTTCATACCCCCACTCAATACCCATTAATCTGGAGGCTTTTTTATTTTTCATTGTTGAAAGAAATCAAGATAGTCAAAAATTTCCCTCTAACATAGTCACACAATCTAAAAAAATTATGGGACTGCAGAACTGCTAACATTAAAGCCAGGCTTCATTCACAGTGACCTGCTTGCACCTGCCTTCTACAATAATTACTGCCGATAAATTTCTTTTATTTGGAAAATGCTTTCATAATAGAAACCTTTTCACCCCTGCCCAGAGTCCCTTCAGTCTGGTCACTAGCAACCCATTTACACAGCAGGCTTCTAGCTCACTGGCTATATATTACTTTGTACTGCCCAAGATGGTGTTTTCAAATAGGTGAGCTCTGTCTCCCCAGTTTTCCATTCAGTTTTATGCCTCCCAGAACATACACACTATACCCAAAGCAGACAGTCTGCAAATGCCTGGCACTTCTGCTTTGCTGCTTTGAGTAACCAAATCCTGTGGGAGAGAAAGGACCACAGACAAGAAAGCATTACAGTCTCAAAATTGAAGAGAGGGCATGGGAAAACTGCTACTAAGGCCCTATTCATAGCTTTCCCTTGCTTGAACACACAGCACCTTTGCTGTCTAGAAGTAAGGGTGTGGTGCTGGGAGTTAACATAGCATTGGAAGCAAGGAGTTCTATTTCCGACTCAGACACTGGTTTGCTCTGTAACTTGGCTATACTGTTTCTCTTCCCTCTATAAACATACCTCTGAGCCTCACAGCTGAGGCTAGGAAGATTCAACAGGGCTTGTGAAGAGCTTTATGAGCTTGCCAGTACTCAGTTCTACTTAACCACAAAGAAACATTATAGAAGCGTTTTTCCTTCTCCCTCCCCTGACACAACTAAGACACCTATGACTCTGTCTTTCTTGGTATGCTGACCTTCATATTAGCAACACATCCTTCTCCTAAAACCATGTATACCTTATACCTCAGAGAGCTCCGCTTGAGTTTCAACCTTAACCACACAATTTTCTCAGAACAGGACAATCCAGCAGCGTGCCTCCAAAGTAACATCTCCCACTGAGCTGTGGTAAAAAAAAAATCAGAGAGGTATTTGGCTCTTAAGCTGATTCTGAAGGAGAAATCAACAATATTCAAGAAACAAGGTCTCCTTTCTAACTGGCTTCCTTTCTTTTGACTGAAAAAAAAGTGTTTTTTAACCACTAGATTTTCCTAAATAGCTAACATATTGTGCACTCCATGGAGGTAAAGGGCCAACTCTGGAGCTTCAGGTGAAACGAAGAAAGAAAAAAATATGCTAACAGTTAATTATATCTTCCACTGCAAGGAGCATTAGACTATTGTCTTCTGAAGATCTTTGCAGCCAATTATTCCAACAATTAATCACCTAGAGGGGTCAGAATGCTAGATGGATGTGTTTGCATTGACAATGCGCAGGAAGCAGGTCACCTGGACGGTGAACAAAGAGAAATCTGACCCTCAATGAATTTTTAACTTTGACCTACACATATGGAGCCAATTAGGACATTTCATACTAGTGTTCACAATTTTTTTCTTTTAAAAAAAATGTCTAATGATAATGAAATAAATATACCATGTTTGGTGGCTTTGGTGATTCTGGAGGAAGTGGAGTTAGGTTTTTGCCCTTACAAAAATGAATAGCAAAATCACTTCACTAATGCTAAACTTGCAGATGATACATTGAAAACAAAGTTCTAAATTCCGCCATATGCCCTGTAGCCTAAAAAGGCTGGCTGGCTTTTGTGCCCTACAGAAGATAGTCCAGAGCTCAGATAAAGAAGACCCTGAAAGCAGAACATACTCAAATTCTCTTGCTTTGCTCCCTTTTTCATGAGCTTGGGTGAGATCAGAGTGCTTCTGATCCCCAGAGCATTTCCTCTTTCTACTCTAGTAGAAGCTTAGAAACACTGACACAATAGTTTTCAGAGGAAGCTGAAACCTATTGTATCCTTGCCTATAAATATCTAGCAGTGAAGCAAAGTAAAAAAAATATTAAAATGTTGCACAAAAATACAGATCAAAACCATCCTGTTGGAGTACTAGGGTATATGTTCAGACACGCTCCTCAAATGAGTGGCTGCTAACATATAAGACTACTTCCTTAAGGGAATCTTCTAGGCCAAGTCAAAAGCACACGTCACAATCACACACATGGTTCCAATTGATGTTCCTACATGTTGGTTGATGTTTCATAATAGCTTTCAAAACACAATCCAGTCTTATCACATATGGAGGAAACCATAGGTAAATGTTTCACTACAGAACTGAGCTAGGAAATTGATCTGTAATACCTTGTGTATTTTTGATGCAGAAATATCATTTTAAATATGGTTTTTCTACAATGAATTTGGTTTGCACTGAGATTATTATGGCTGTTTCGTTCTCCCACTCTGAGAAAAGCCAGAAATTGATACAGGCCCTAATCTGAGCAGATCCTATTCTCAGTGATTAACTTATTTTTTTCACCAAAAAATACTCCAGTCTCCCACTAACCCTTCACCTGATGGCACAGTCTAATCTT